GGGTCTGGGCCTTGGTGAGGGGTGGGCTGATTGGAGCAGAGACCTGCATGGCGGCTGCTGCTCAGTGCGAGTCCAGAGCAACTTGCCGTGTCCACAGCAGCAGCAAGTCCATCTGGGCAGCGCCCCTTCCATCCCAGCAGGCTGGAGAGAGCCCCAGCTGTGGGGGGCAGCCCTCAGGCAACCTGTTCCTGGCTAGCTAGTTTTATGTTGTGCAACCCAGTTTCTCCAGAAGAAGACAGCTTGGGCCTGGGGCTCCTGGAGGTGTTGTCTCTGCCCCTTGTGAGCACTGCCTTGCTGGTTGCTGGGTCAGAGCACGTGGGGTCAGAAACATCACCAGGGCATCAAATTGCCTGTCCCTGGCACATACCCTGCAAACAGGGAGTTTTTAATAGGTGCCCCTCTAACATATTGAAAAGTTTTAAATAATTATCTTTAAGTAGGTAGTACATTAAGTAATACACAGTAGCTAAAGAGAGTTTTAGGAACCGAGTGTGGTGGTGCACATCTGTAATGCCAGCTGCTAAAGAGGCGAGGCAGGAGTGCAATTTAGAAACAGTCTCAAAAAAAAAAAAGTCCATATAATTCAATCATAAATTTTGAGGGATAGTGTTTTAGATTCAACACATAATCATAGATTCTTATTATATAATAACAGCATACTATATAAAATATTTACATTTTTGCAACCCAATTATTTTTTATCGAGATATAATACACATATCATAAACCCTTTTAAGGTGTTCCATTCATTGGTTTTTCGTACATTCATGTAGTTGTATCATCAACACCCTTATCTAAATCCAGAATAATTTCATAATGCCAAAGCCAAACTGGTATTCTTTCCTCCTGCCAGTCCTCTGCAGCCACAAATCCACTTTTTGTCTCTATGGATTTGCTTACCTGGGCCATTTCATATAAATGGACTCATATAATAAGTGACATTTTGCATCTAGCTCCTTTCATTTACATGTAAGTTTCATCTATATTGTAGTGTATGTCAGTACTTTGATTCATTTCATATGGAAATACTACTTTGTTTAATCCAGTTATTGGCTAATGGGCATTTAAGTTGTCTGCTTTTTGCTGTTACGCATATATTTCTATGAACATCTGTGTACAAGTGTTTTTCAGTTCTCTTGAGTATTTCCTTAGATATGGAATTGCTGGATCACGTGGTAACTTTGTGATTATTCTGAAGAACTACCAAAGCACAGTGGCTTCACCATTTCACATTTCCATCATCAACGTGTGAGGATTCCAATCTCTCCGTGTATTTTCCAACACTTGTTATTTTCTCTCTTTTAGGCTCTAGTCTCCCTCGTGGGTATAACGTGGTATCTTGCTGTGGTTTTGATTTCCATCTCCCTAGTGATTAACCATGTTGAGCATCTTTTAATGTGCTTGTTGGTCACTTCTAAATCTTCTTTGTAATGATGTCTATTAAAATCCTTAGCTCATTTACAAAATTGCATTAGTCCCCTTCCTATTGAGTTTGAGAAGTTGGTTTTGTTTTGCTTTTTTCTTTTTTTATTTTTGAGACAGGATCTGACTGCGAAGCCCAGGCTGACCTCAAACGTGAACTCACAGTGATCCTCCTACCTCAGCATCACCCGTGCTCCGATTGCCACTATACCCAGTGAGTACCACTAAACTCACCTAGTTTGAGAAGTCTTTTGTATACAGTGTTCTAGGTACAATTTACAAATATTTTCTCCCGCTCTGTTGGCTGTCTTTTTACTTCTTTGTGGTGTCTTTTGAAGCACAAAAGCTTTTAACTTTGATTAAGCCCAATTTACCTATCTTTTTTCCTTTGGTTGCTTATGGGGTCAAATCTGAGAAATCGCTGCTTTATCTGAGGCCATAAAGATGTACACCTACGGCTTCTAAGAATTTTATATTTAATTCTTGCATTTAGCTCTTTGAACCATCTTGGATTAATTTTTGTATATGGGATGAAGTAGGAATCCACATTCATCCATTTGTGTGTAGATCTCCAGCATTCAGCACATTCATTGGATGACTATTCTTCCCCCTTAATTTGCCTCGGGAAGGAGCGAGGATGTAGCTCAGTGGCAGAGCACTTGATCTTGCATACTCCACACCCTAGGTTCAAGCCCCAGTTCCACAAAAATAAACAGAACAAAACAAAACTTGCCCGGCAATTTAAACTGTGATTCTTATTAAAAAAGCTACTTTTTAAATTTAGCCTTATACTGTGGCCATTGTTCTATGCTAATAAACGTACACTAACTTAGGCTTTTTTGATAGTACTAGGGATTGAACACAGGGGCTTTTTCACAATAGACAGTGCTCCACCACTGAGCTACATCCCAGCCACTTTTTAAAATTTTATTTGAGACAGGGTCTCACTAAGTTGTCCTGGCTGACCTTGAACTTGGGGTCTTCCTGCTTCAGCCTCTTGAATAGCTGGGATTATAATCATGTTCCACGAAATCTGGCTTACCATAGCATCTTTTAACAATAGATTTCTGGTGAAATGCAACAGACATAAAAGAAAGTGTAAGTATCACAAGTGTTTAACTTGACTGGTTTTCACAAAGTACTTGCATCCTTGCAACCACCATTCAGGCCAAAAATAGAAATTAACTAGCACCCCAGAGGCTCCCTTTCCTCACCACTCCCTCCAGAGGCCCCCTTTGTCCCTGTTCCTTGCCATTCCCTCCTCCTCCTCCCCAGTGGTATTCTCACTCCTGGTTCCTCCCGCTGTAATTTAGCTCCACCTGCTTTTGAGTTCTATATAACTAATATCACACAGGATGCATGCTTTTGGATCTGGCTTCTTTCACTCAGCTTTACTGTGGGCCTTTTGGACTGCAGTAGCTTATTCATCTTCATTGGTTGTTAGAATCACAGCACCACTTCTTAGTGCATTATTCATTACCTACCAGACCCTGCACCAGGGAACAAGGCAGCAGATTCCTATTCCTTTACAGCTCATGTTCCCTTGGGTGAGAGACTATATAGAATATATAGCATGTTGTGCAGAGATAAGTCCTATGCAGGAAAGTACAAAGGGAGCACGGCAAGGGATGCGAGTGTTACAGTTGTGTGCAGGACAATCCCTGGAAAAATCACATGTAAGCAAAGACAGGAAAGGGAAGGAAGGAGCTGGCTAGGTTTCTAAAGGAAGAGCATTCCAAGTGGAGGGAACAGCAAGTGCAGGGACCCGGAGGTGGCAGAAGGCTTGTCCTATTTCAGGGACAGCAGGAGGCCAAGGTGGCTGGAGCAAAGGGAGGGAGGGGAGGCTGGTGGTAGTGGTAGTGGGAGTGATGGTGGTGAAGTCAGAAAGAATGCTTTCAAGGATGCCGGCTTTTACTGAGTGATGCGGGAGTCACCAACCTAAGGGTGAAGTAATTTGACTTTTTGAAAGAGGCTTACTCTGGCTGCTGTACAGAAGCAGGCCTGCAGCAGGAATCATGGAGAATGGCCAGCAGCTCTTGTGGACACCCAGGTGAGAGGAGATGAACAGTAGGACCCCAGGTGGCCATGGTGGGTCAGGTAAGGAGTGGCTGCCCCTGGGGTTGTTCTGAGCATTTGCTCCTGGGTGGGATGTGTGGGACAGGTGAAGGTGGGTTGGGTTGAGTTTTCCAGCTGCTCTGCTTGGTCCCTGCTGTTGGGCATTTAGGGTTCCAGCTTTTCACTGTGACACACAAGATGGGGCGTCCATCCTTGCAGGCCAGTCTGAACGGTCAGGACATGACCTCTGTGGCCAGCCCTGCTGTCACTATCTGGATAGGTTAATTCATCTTTCTGTGCCTCACTGTCTTCATTTTTTTTTTCTTCCGGTACAGGAATTGAACTCACGACCTTGTGCTTTCCAGGCAGGCGCTTTGCCACTGAGCTAAATCCCCAGCCCCCACTGTCTTCATCTTTGAATTAGGGGTAATAACAGTTAACACCGTGTAGGTGAGATTTGTCTGTGAAGGTCCACACATTGTAAGCACTATGTCAATGCTGGTTATTTGCACTATTTTTTCTTTCAATGAGTCTTCACATCTAAAACAGACCCCAATATAGGTGCTTTCAAAAACAGCATTTATGTTGAAAGAGGCTCATTTCCACCTTAAATGGAAAACATTGTCACTTGCTTGGAAGAATAGGAATTCATCAAATAAATTTAATGCAAACAAAACAGTGCTGGTAAGTGCTGTCTAGGTACCGCTGCGAGGCCGAATAAAGTAGGCTGTGTCCAAGCCTGGTGAGCACCAAAGTGGGACCTCTCCCCTCAACCCAGCAGGACTGACAGAAAATGGAAAACAAGGAGCTGTGTTTAAAGGCCTTCCCCACACCCCACGTGTCACCTGAGAACCCCACAGTAACAGAGCTTCTAGATGACCAAGGACTTGGGGGTCCCTTAAACAGTGCATCAAGTTTGTACTAGCACCAAAGATTTTCTAGTCTTTATTTCATAAGAT